GTGTGTGTGTGTGTGTGTGTGTGTGTGTGTGTGTCTGTGTGTACAAAATACCTCAAGAACACATACACACATATGGGATTAACGTGTCTCCAACAGATGATTCACTTGTGGAGGTGATGATCAAAGGTCAAGGTCAACAAAAACATTTTCCAAGTAACAGAGAGACGAAAACTTATTTTGGTCAGAAACGTGTTCCCCGTTATACAATAAGACACCATGCATAGTTCAAAAGGGCTTTTCTGAGTCTTATCTTACCTAATGTCCTCTCTTGCCACGTGCAAAGCAGGGGTTCGCTTCAACTATCTACACCCTGCCATATTCTAAACTGTCCTGTCACAGTTTCATAATAAATCCCACAAAACATTTGACTCTTCTTCTCATGAGAACATAAGCGATTCCTGGATCCGCCTATTTACTCAGATCTGCTCCCAAATGTATTTGGGTCATCCAATCCATTGAGTAGTTTTTTTAATACTGCTCTCAGTACTATACTAAAACCTAACCTCCTTGACGAAGGTAATTTTACTTTCTTCATGTACTCTATTTACTCTGTACTCTGTTCTAAACTGAAGTATCTCATGCATCCAGATCAAGGTATCCTCAGATGTTGTGTACAGAAGTAGGCAACTGGAAATACTCGTATTTCTAGTTCAGTTTCCCACAGATTGGGATTCTAGCAGTCCTCCGAGCACATGCACACAGCACGCTCTCATGCACACCTTGAAAGACGACAGGTACATAGACGGTGGGGGTGCTGTGCCAGCGTCTGCCTGCTGTGCGGGGGACAGCAAAAACTGATTTACTGTTTTAGTTTTTTTTTACTTTTCCCTGTGCTTCCAATGAGCAGTTTTACTACGACACACAGATCTGTTGTCAACGTGTTTGTGTGTGAGAGAGAAGTGTGCTTTATGTTTGTCCACCTTGACCTTTGACCAATCAAGAGCTGATCATCTGCAGCAAAAACTAGTTTTAGTAAAAATCCATCCACGTGTTGCTATTTTGCACACACACACACACACAGGTGCACAACAAACAGGTTCATAATCTCCACGGTTATTCTACTACATGTCATATTGCGTTCATCTTTTCCAGTTCGTCCTGCCCCACACCAGAGGGAGCTCCCATGGCCAGACCCGCATCATCCGCAAGGCCTACGAGCAGGACTTCTACACCCGCATGATGGAGGAGTGCTACGAGCTGTGGGCGCAGCTGGAGAGGGAGGCAGGCGTCAAACTGTACAGGTAAGCAGTCAGCAGAAACACGGAGACAGAAACCCATTAAACAGAACATAACAAAAGCTTCAGCGGAACGCGGAGATTTGTCACATTCAAGGTGCTATGTAAGCACAAGAGCCGCAACTCAATCCACAGGAGCCGTAAAATGCATGACTTTCTCATTACCTCCAGCGTCACTGAATCACCCTTTGACAGCTCCCATGCCTCTGAATGAAGGGCAGGGGCTCTTTCATCTCACTACACCTCTGATTCTCACTCGGCGAGCGGGGGGGGTGTTTGTGTGTTTACAAATATGACAGTGGCATCAAACTGTGGCCATGCTTCCAGCAGCAATGTAACTTCCCTGGTCTTATTAACTCCGAGCAAACCGAATGTGTTCTTAGTGCCAGCCAAATAACATGGACTCATTATTCACGTCTCAGGGTAAGTGTCCATGAGACTGAGCCGTGCCCACATTATGTTCCCTAGAAAAACAGTGCACCTCCCTGTCCCCCTGCACCCAACCACCGCTCATGACTGATGGGTCCACATCTTAAAAGCCACCTGTGCCCTTGGGCTGGCAAAAAAAAAAAAAATGTCTGCATCACAATGAGAAATGTCTGGGCTGCTGTGAGTAATGCCTCCCACTTCTATTGCTGCCTCTGGGACAGATGGAGCCATCGAAACAGCCCCAGAGCGCCGCTAAAATACACCCAGCAGCCATTTTTATCTTCTCCACATACGTGACGGCATCTGGTGACAGCCGATCACCCGCTTTAATAGGCCAGACTCAATGAGGAATAATATTTACAATCTTACACATGCCTGCCTTGCTTTTCCTTCCTCTGTCACACTCTCGTACACACAAGCACACACGCACACGGTCGTAAAAAGAGACTAATGGATGGCTGAAGCCTTTAGTTTGGCGTGTCTGTGCCTTATGGCTACTGACAGATGTCGGGAGCAGCCCTCAGGAAACACTGCTGGCAGAGCGCAAGTCGGTCATCTATCAAGAATTACTAAATTAGACCCTATGTTTCACAACCTCTTAGTCTGAGAGATTCTGTGATCTGCTGTTTTACTGTTCACCGGACATTTGATGTGCAGTCAAATGTCACCATGAAGATTATTATAAAGGTTAATTCCCTTTCATTACAACTGGGCTCTTAGTTACGCTTCATATAAAGGGCCATTGGAGGTAGAGAGAAAAAACAGCGGACCGGGACGGAAGCGGGATAAAGAAAAAAAAATCACAAATTTGGAAGGAAGGAATTCGAATGTCGTGAGATTATTAAGACGTAAAGTTGAGATGAAAAACTCTTGAATTGTAAAAGGACTAATGACTTTTATATCGGAAATCCTGTCGCGATTTTCCTCCCTTCTCTGGCTCAGTACGCTGAACAGACGTCAGTCACACTAAGAAACACGAACGCTCACAGAAGAATTAAAAGTGAACAACGCAGCCTCTCGTGTTTTTCATTGAAACCCAACAACACAAACAAAACAGACCATCATGTCTGCAGGCACGTAGCTCTGTGCTTTCTTTCTTTCTTTTTCCAAAAAGTAATACTTTCAGTCTGAACTCCACTAACCTCCAGGTTAGTGAAAAACAATGGAGGAGGAAAGTAACTATTTTTAAGATTACATCACTTTCTGTGATATTGTATTTATCAAAAGTTTGCAGTCTGACTTTCTGTGTCCGGCCTGATGTTGTTTTACGACTGATGTTTTTTTTACATAATGATAATAAAGATCAATCTTAATAAAGGGGCCTTCACTTTTTTCTGGGCAGGTGAAAGGCTGCGTAAAGCCATCAGCTTTGAATCAGGGGAGTCGTGAAGAGAAGCAGAGGCTTTTGATTTTGGTAGAGGTAACGCTCAGCCCAGTTACGTTCACACTCACAGAACATTATTCATGATAATTTAAAAAGCTTACATGCACGTGTTTGTGGCCCAAAGTCAAAGCAAGAGAGTTCAGATGGAGAATGACATCCTGTACAGTGACATGAAGAGATCCACGAGAAAGAGGATGTCTCACTCTGTCATGGTTGTACATTGGTCTTTATGTAAAGTCTATGACAGTGGTGCTGCAGACTTCACAAACTATACTTACTGACAACAGCGTGCAGCTGCACACACAATGGATAAGTTTCATTTAGGCCCGTCACCGAGTTACTTTCAGAATCAACGTTAATCGCTGACAGCGACGCTCAGCTACAAATGATCTGCAGCCGAATGTTGTCTACGTTGTGACCTGGTACCAACGTTTGTGTCCGACACGTGGGAGACCAACGTGTTACAGTTTTACTAAAGTGACAGTAAAGCATACGTCCTTCATGCTCTGAGACCTGAACATCAATAACTCTCTCTCTGAACATTTCAGCTGGTGTGTCGGAGCAGAAGGCCGTCGTTTGTTTGTGTCTTCCTCTGTCTCTTGCACCAGCACCTCAGTGTCCTTCAGCTAATTTAATCAGTTTTATTTTCAAGGATGTATAGGAAGGTGGCTCCATGACGGCAATACTAACCAACAGCTCTATTAAAGACCATTTTTATTCCATTGCCAGTGTGAAGTCTACATGGTGAACTTAAAAACAGACAAAGGATGAATAACCTGAAAACTAAACCGAGTCTCTGTGTTGAAATATTTTAAACTCAAGGTTCCTTATTAGCCTTTAATAGAGCTTTCTACATGACTGATGAATGTTCTTCATCAGGTTTAATCAGACATACTTAAAATCTAATTAAAACAATATGTGAAAAATCAGTAATTACATGATGACACATGAGCTTTTTATTGTACTCTGAATATAAGATATGGTTGAAAGCTCCTTAAGAGCTAGTAAGTGACCCTTGAGTTGTAATCAATTGTCACGTATACTGTTTACAAGATCAGAATGAAGCCAATACCTTTACTATTTCTTCAAATCATTTCCAAACTACCCCCCCCCCCAGGCTGAATATGTGCCCTGGATGCATCTTCTGTTCGGATCAATGTCTGGGCGTTCACAACCTTTGTCCTCGTTTTCCCTGATTTTTAGACAAACAGGGCTCCTGGTGATGGGACCAGAGAACAGTGAGAATTACCAGCTGTTCAAGAGCACCCTGCAGAAAAACAAGGTTCCTATGGTGACCCTGACCCCTGACAACTTCAGCCAGCACATCCCCCACGTCAACCTGGCGGAGGGAGACGGAGCGGTGGTGGACGTCACTGCTGGAGTTCTCTACGCTGATCGTGCACTCAAAACTGTGCAGGTACGGTACTGATGTCAGTGACAGAGCATTGGGTGTGGGGGGACAGAATCAGAAATGAATTAAAGTGTTAGAACCTTATTTGATGTCAAAGTGCAACATGCTTTCTTTGCTAGAGTTGAATTTCTATAGGATCAAGTAACATCCTGATCCTGATCCTTTGTCTGAGCTCCGCTGGTCGAGGTGAATCACGTGATCCACATATAGGGATATGATGTGTTTCTGATCCCCCAATGCAAAGTCTTAGTTTTCCTTCAAATTGCTTTTATGACGTGATGCATCACTGGGACTGAAATCAAAACCGATCACGGAGTTCTGCGAAGTTAACGCCCCGCAAACAATCTGCGTCTTGATGAACCTGAACTGAACTGTAGATTTATTTTTTTCTCCTAATAGCAACATAATGCCTTTCAGAGCATGCGGAAGTGATGAAATATAAAAGAAGCAAAACATTTTCTGATTTCATGTACAAGCACGACAAAGAAAACTGGGCTGAAAAATACCCAGACGTGGATAATTGCTTATATTTCATGCCCATTGCTTTAATCTAATAATAGCTCATAGCAGGAGTATCTTCAGCGATACATTCACATCACTGTATCCCGTCAGCAGCGACTGAAAGAGCACTGGAGGAGAACAGAGTCCTCTGTGGCTGTCAGGTCAAGCACGGAACACTTCTTTGTTGTTTCAGCGAGGTGCCACATTCAATTGACTGGACAGATGTTCAGGCGCTTCTCCGTGGAGCAGCTGTCAATTATAAATTAGAGCTTGTTGTGATAGACATGTATTAGATTAGCAGATCATTGCTTTGTGCTCTTTCGTGCCATGGCTCGTTAATAGCCTCTTGCCTTTAATATTATGTCTTAATGAAAGTCGCAATTGATTTGCCTTTTTCCATTAGCCCAGGGTTTGTTAATGTCTTCTGCCTGTCCGTCTGTTTTCATGGCTCCATCATGGACACAGCCAGTGGTCGGAGGCTTCATGATTTTGGGTCGTCTGAGCATCAGTACATCCCATTCTTCGTGAACGCGATATCTCAAAACTGCCTGAGGCGAATTTCTTCAAATTTGGTACAAACAGTCACTTGGACTCAACGAGGAGATGATTGGATTTTGGTCGTCAAAAGTCGAGGTCGACCTGGCCTCACTAAATATGTTTAGGGTTTTTTTTTTTTKTAAACATCACATCTTAAGATCAGTTCGAGGAAACAAACATTCACTTGGACCAAATACTGAATAAACGTCGGTGGTCAGAGGTAAATGTCATGGTGACCTTGTATGAATCTGGAAAAAGGACAAACACTGCATTGGTTAGTGGAGGCTTACAACCCCAGTGCGGTTTTTCTATTATCTCTTTGAAATCAAATTCAGGTCCGGCTCTGGTGTGTTTTACTTTATCTAAATTCTGTTAATATTTCAAACCGGTTTGAAGTCTTTGTCAAGTACATGCTCACATGTTACGCTGAGTGAGTACATCAAGGTTTCTGTCTCTCTCACTGGGGAAATCAGGTTTCTGTAATCCCCTGCTCAAACCACACAACAGAGTAAAACAGTGCTCATGTTACTTTCATCTGCCCGAGACAAATACACATTACTGTGTACATCACTGATATTATCTGACGGTATATGGATGTCTGTTGTTGTTGTTGTTGGTATATAAGACTGCTTATTGCAGTTTTCATAATGACATTTCTCCCTCTGGAGCTACGTTATGATTGAAATAATATAATTGGACCTACTGCAAAACAGTTGGCAGAATAATTGGCACATCTAAGAATAAAGAAAATAGGAACTTTAGGGAACTGTGCCATTCTAAATAAGTTAAGACAAAATTAATCCAGCGACTGTCGTTTCTCTGTTGTATGTGGAGTGAAATACACACAGTATACTGAACATATTGTTTTGTTGTGTAAATGCACCACTCTGTCGCAAGTAATACTGGTTTTATATTTTAAAATATCCACATATCATACCTATTTGAATAAATGCATTCAGTGAGCACTTTATTAGGTACACAGTAGTAATACATGGTACTTCCCCTCCGTGCCTTTAGTTCTTCATGTCGCTGATCCCACAAGATGTCGGGAAATATTCCCTCTGAGATTTGGCTCCATGTTGACACGACTGCATCGCATCATCTCTGCAGAGTTGTCAGATGCACATTGAAGCTGCCACTCTCCTGTTCCACCACATCACAAAGGGTTTTCATTCTCTTCTGCCCTCTCTCAACAACTTGGTGTTTCCGTCCACAGATCTGCTGCTGACTGGGAGTTTCTGTTTTGGCTCCATTCTGCGGAAAAACACTAGAAACTGTTGTTCTGATGTTTGACATGAACCTTAACGCAAGCTTTTGACCTGTATATGTAGGATTTACACTCCTCCCACATGACCATTGGATCGTTTCAAGCTGTCCCTAATAAAGTGCCTAGTGAGTGTACAATATATTTTAATTTGTTTATCTGCACTAAGTACATGTCCAGCTGATAACCATCATCAGCTGGACATGTACTCTGGACATTATCTGCTGATAGTAGTATGACAGGTAGTTAAAGAGGACAGCCCTGTGAAGGACATGTTGAAGGTGACGGAGACAAAGACAAGGGCAGATAGTATCAGACCAGGTCATATGCAATTTTAAAAAGATTACCTCAGTCATTAGATTTTAATTTTGTTATTTAATTCTTTAGAAAATAGGGTGATTAAGAAGTGATTATTGATTCATCCATACCATTGTGTTTGAAGGATTTAATAACATAAAGTTCCGTCTGTTTCTTGTCCCAGGGGCAGTTTCAGAAGTTGGGTGGAATCATAAGAGACAAAGAGAAGGTCACAGACATCGAGCCTGGTCCTGTCGTCACCGTGTCGACCACTGCTGGAGTTTATCGAGCCAAGAGTGTGGTGATCACCGCTGGACCCTGGGCTAATAGACTCCTGGCCCACACTGGCTTACAGCTGCCACTAGAGGTACTCACATTGTTCACTGCATAATACGCAACACTTTAAACACAGGGTGAACTTATCATACATATATTAAGTGATACCAAAAACTAGGTTTTATAGGTACGTCGTTAGAATACAGTCCACTGTACAACATCTACAAAACACTGTGGGTTTTCAAGTGGATGCAAGATCCTTAACTCAACCTAAATAGTTCATTATTATATCAAACCTACATGTTCTGAGATGTTAGGAGTGACACAAGCTATAAACTATTAAATATATTCATCAGCAGCAGCTTCCTTCTCTGCTCATTGCTGAACAGGTTGGCCAACAATCGGCGTATTACCTGAACACTGATTTCCCAAGTTTCAACACAGTTATAAATTGTTTGCTCAGTGGGAATAAACCAATCAAAGCACACACTCGTGTGCAAGGTGAGATGCACAAACAATTGGCCACACTCTTGAAAAAGATATCAGCTCGACACAGAAGTAGAAAAAACACCTGAAACGATGTCTTCTGGCGATTACTTTTACTTTTACTGCAAAAATGAAACTGACTATGTTTAATATGGACATCTGACTCTGTAAAGGTAAACGGTGCCTCCCCAAGTGACAAAGGCACTAACGACATTATCGCAGCTCACACACCAGCTTGACTGGTTTTGCACGAGTCAACATTAAACCCTCAACTGAGGATCGTCACATTATTTACAAAACCAATGTGCCGGTAATCACAAATCAAAATATATATTATATTCTCTATTTGCAATAAAGAAATCTGATCAATAAACAATTGATTTAAAAAATAAATTTGGAACCATCTAATTAGAATTAATTGCCTATTCTTGTTATCATCGTAAACGTCCGTTAATGTTTGCCAGAACAGTAAAGTCCCAACATTTGGATTCAGCCACAGTCAGCAAGGCAGTTTTTTTTATTATTATTTTTTTTTCCCATCTTGCAATTTGCCATATTCTGAAAAGAGAAAGTGATGGGAAAACAAGCAGACAGCTGTTAGAGTGGAGAGCTGGAGTTGATATTGGAATTGCATTATTCAGACTCACAGCAAGCTGGGGGGGGGGGGTCTGGGGAATGCCATGCCTGAGTGAACTGGTAGAAAAGCACAGGCTGCGAGTTCATTGGCTCGCCAGAGTACTACTGTCAGAATTTTTATGGTCCCTGGGAGTGAGTGCACGGCCGACTAGTTCATTACACTGAAAGCTCCTGAACAATGTGTCCGTATTATTGCCACCTTCAGATGGACGTCATTTGTAAAACCGTGTGTACATTTCATTAAATCCTAATTCTCGCCTCACTGCCGCAGAGCTGCTTTTGTAATCGCACCTTTTATCGGTGAGAAGAGAAGACGCCGATGAGGGGGGCGGAGTGTAGGTGGTGTTTTGCATGTTTGTATTTCAAGGTTTAACCAGTGTGGAGTTTTAATGCTTATTATTAGAGCTGCTTGTTTTGTCCCAGTGTGTATCCATTCAGGTTTAACTAGTCAAGTGTTGATCAGTTGTGCAGCAAATGAGCATTAAATACCAATTAATAATTAAAACATCATGATGCCAGAACAAATTCTGTATGTGTCGTGTACATGTGGAAGCTTTACGTGTGTTATGGTTTAAGAAAAACTTGTAAAAATGTTTTTCAGACCAGTCAAAGATTTGAAATGTTTTTGTAAATCTTCATGTATCAACAATATTGTGAATACAATATATATTTAATACATATCCATACGATGGGATACACTCTGGTCTGTATTTGTGAAGTAACAACCAGGTGTAAGTAACGGTCTCTCCTGCTTTCTCTTCTATAGGTGGTGAAGATCAATGTGTGCTACTGGAAGGAAAAGGTTCCGGGATCATATGCGGCGAAGCAGCGTTTTCCCTGCTTCTTGCTGACCGAGTGTGAGGAGGCCAAAGAACACATCTATGGCCTCCCCTCCAACGAGTACCCGGGCCTGATGAAGGTAAGAGGAACTCTGGATACAGACACCTCAGTGTGAGTGAACCGGAATATTGAATATTTATTTTTCATGTGATTTAATCTGTTAGATTTTCGGGGTCTGTCTGTGGTGTCATTACTCAGCATTAGTGCTGTGTGAGCACTGAGGCAAACACAGCATTAAACAACGGGACGTGCACCCACTGCATCCAATGATAGGACTTATTATAGAGTAACAAAGCTTCTACTTTTTATAAATAACCATTGATCTTGATTTTAAACACACACACAAACACACACACACACAATGTATACACACACTAAATAACTTCAACTCAAAAGTGACCTGAATTATTTTCAGTGTTTAGTCATCGTTGACTTCTGGCAGCGGTAGAAATTTCTTATCAGCTCTGCTGCGAGGTTTTTCCTCATTCTTCTCCACGGAGCAGTTTAAGCTCTGTTGAGCTTGGTTGATCAGGGATTTTGTGAGCGAGCATCCTTTGTTAATTTCAGCCCCAAAGTTGTGATTGGCTTCAGACTGAGTCTGACTGTGACTCTGCAGGACTTAAACACGGTTGTTTCGCAGCCATGACTTGAGGCTCGGGCTGATCGTCTCGCCGTTGAACAAATTGTCTCTAAAGAAGCAGGTTTCCTGTAGACCGCAGTGATCCGTGTTTTTTTTTTATTTGCAATAGATTCAGATCACTTCATGGAGGGTCCAGTGTCAGAAAATACACAAACAGGACATCTCACAGGGATGAATTTTTCACTGCATTATATATTACACATCTTCTATCTCCTAGTTCCAGAAATCTGTTTGTCTGAATGTGGCTCGCACATCTCGAGTCTTTATCGACTTCGTACTAATGTAAAGGGCTCAAGGAAACTGCAGTGTGTAGTTAAAACCTTTGAATTAACTATACCAGCGCTCTGTAGCAGCAGTGGGATGGCTGGAGTGACGTTCATATGTAAAACTGCCTTTCCCAACCTCACAGGCGCGTTCACAACAACAACAACAACAACAACAACTGATTGTCCAGTTCAGGGTTCTGTGGACTGAGTGTTCACGGCTGTGATGTTGGTGAATGTTGCTGTCACATGGAACACTTGCTCCCCGCTCTAAAACTAAAACCACAGCTGCAGACTCCACTGTAAAATACAATATGTCCACCCCAAAGTCAGATTAGTTACAAGAGCTGCGCCTGGTTCGATGGCACATGTCTATTTGGGGCATGATGGGTAACCAGCGGGAGCTCGCAGCCTAATAGCAGACCACATGCATAGAAGAGGGGGGGGGGGCACAGATGGTGATGCCACGTCGTATTATTCACTGGGAGACACAGACGCCAAAGATACTGTATGCCCAGTATTGGGCCCATTTAACATAATTTGAAAGAAAATGAAGCAGAGAAGAATACTGTAATTACTCACAGTGTGTGTGTGTGTGTGTGTGTGTGTGTGTAAACCGGAGAACCTGTCATGCCTCAGCTCCCATGCTGTGCCTCTTGTCTCTGGGTTTGACTGTGTGCAGTGTGTCAGAGCACATGAAAGCAGCTGTGAGAGTTCGGCCCGTGTGTAACTCCTCACCCTCAGTTACCTTTGAAGCTGGTGACAGGGGCTGAGGTAAATAATGCAGTCATGTGAATGATAAGACATTTCTGACTTCACCTCTGACGAAACTTCACCTGATTATTTTTCTAAAACATTCCCCTCCACTGCTGCATCAACTGAACGGACCTCGACCCGCACACTGGGCCGACTTTTATGATTTAAAGAACGTCGTCTGTGTCGAAACACTTCCAATATTAGACACACACACATGTATGTATGTATGTATACATGAAGAAATCACCAAGAAGACAGAAAATTGAATCATGCAAAGTTTAAAAAAAATGCTTTTCATTTTCCCCTCTGTCTCTGACTCCCACATGACTATAGACGAGACTTAAAGCTTATATCGTCCTCTCCGCTCTGTCTCTGCACAGATGCTGCACCTGCTGCTTAGAACAGGTGACGGAGGTGGCAGTGAATATCAAGGCTTACACAAACACTATAGATAACTGAATTCATAAATGCAGAGTGTTTGTTGTAAGTAAATATAGGCATGCAAAAGCATTCAACTATAGAAATTCTGCAAATGCCAGTACACAGCACAGACCTCATAACACGTGGTTTATAAATGATATTGATGTTGTCATCCTTTGTGTAGATATGTTACCATATGGGCAGCGAAACAGACCCAGACCAGAGAGACAAGCAGACAGACAGGTCTGATATTGACATCCTCCAGCGCTACATTGCCCGCTGTTTGCCTGGCCTGCTCCCTGAACCTGCAGTGGTGGAGAGCTGCATGTATACGGTGAGTGAGAATCAACACGTGAGCCCATAGTGATCTGATCCACCCGATCCACCGGAGTGTCTGAGCTGGGATGATAAACTGCGAACGCATCCCAGAGCGACTTGCAGAACTCCAGACCTTGTTGTGTTGCTCGTGAAACAGCCGGCAACAAGACTGCAAATCTTCAACAACACAGTTAATCATGAGTTCAAGTTTATTCCTGAGCAGTTAATTTATATAAAAATAAAAGCTCTGTTATTCAGCTTTATATGAAGCACGACAAAATGACTTTGGCGGAATTAGTTGGTTAGATGTGAAAGTGTCAGAGTGTGTGTGTGTGTGTGTGTGTGTGTG